ACTGCTGTTGGGAGGAGACCTAGCTGAGGAAAAGCAAGGGAAGGCATCAGGGATGGGTTTAAGGCAGCTCAACGGAGAGAAATGGTGTGTGTGGGGGGCATTGTCTCTATTTTTGATGTGAGGGAAATGACACAAATTGCACAATCGGGGAGATGACACTGTGATCCACACAATTTCTCTTGCCAATCCCAACCAACACACCTGGAGGGAAACTTGAAAGAGAAATTAGAAATTGGGCGGAGGGATCTTGCTATGTGTGACTGTGTGGCGAGGTAGGGGCCAAAGGAAGAAGGCAGTCTTCACTTTGTGGTGAAATGAGCAGCAAATCAATTTAATAAATAAACAAAAAATAAATAATCCTTAAATAAAATTAAACCATGGGTTTGATCAATTTTGTGATTCGGTACAGGTAGTCCTTGACTTACACTAATTTGTTTAGCGACCATTCAGAGTTACAATGCCGCTGAAAAGATAACTTATGTCTGGTCCTCGCACTTAAAGCCAACATAGTCCTAGGCTGCATTAACGGAATAGAATCAAGATCACGTGAAATGTTAATAATACCCTTTATAATGCCTTGGTAAGGCCACACTTGGAATACTGCATCCAGTTTTGGTTGCCACGATATAACAAAGATGTTGAGATTCTAGATTCTCAACATGTTTTTTAAATCATGGTGACCAAAACTAGAGTACAGAAAAGAGCAGCAAAAAATGATTAAGGGACTGGAGGCTAAAACATATGAAGAATGGTTGCTGGAATTGGGTATGCTTAGTTTAATGTAGAGAAGGACTAGGGGTGACATAATAGCAATGTTCCAATTTCTCAGTGGTTGCCACAAAGAAGAAGGGGTCAAGTTATTCTCCAAAGCACCTGAGGAAAAGACAAGAAGCAATGGGTGGAAAGTAATCAAGGAGAGAAGCAATCAGTGGTGGGATTCAAATAATTTAACAACCGGTTTTCTGCCGTAATGATTTCTTCAAACAACCAGTTCACCAAACTGCTCAGAAACTTAACAACCGGTTTTCCCGACGTGCTGAATCCCACCACTGGAAGCAATCTAGAACGAAGGAGAAATTTCCTGATAATTAGAACAATTAATCAGTGGGACAACTTGCCTTCAGAAGTTGTGAATGCTCCAACATAGGAAGTTTTTAAGAAGAGATTGGACAACCATTTGTCTGAAATGATATAGGGTTTCCAGCCTGTGCAGGGGGTTGGAGTAGAAGACCTCCAAGGTCCCTTTCAATTCTGTTATTTTGTTCTGTTATAATCATCACAGCCCTTGCATGATCATATGATCAATATTTGAGCTCTTGGCCATCGACAAAAAGTGAAGTCAGTGGGGGAAACCAGATTTGTGACACACTTAACAACTGCAATGGTTCTGTTAACAACAGTGGCAAACAACTGTCTTGCTTAGCAGTGGAAATTCTGCTCCCAATTGTGGTTTTAAGGCGAGGACTATTTGTACTTAGATAAAGATATTTGGAAGCTGAATTCACTCAATATGCTCACCTGGTTCCTGAATTAAAAATTGTTCTCTGGTCAAGGTTAATCCAACAGACTGGATTCTCACGATACACTCAGCCTCCAAAGGAGAAAATCACCCTTACCAAGATAACCAAACACAATTGTGCAAATGCAGCCACTAGATTTGAAAGTAAAGCATCTTGTGTGAAAACATCCATATTTTAACATCACCGTTAGCTAGATTGAGTGTGTTTTAGGAGTCAGATTTACCCCTGGGATGTTGTTGCCATCTTATGCAAGGTATATCTAATTTGCATACTCAGCTTGCCTGTCCGTGAAATGGGTTTAGCTGGATCTGAAAGCTGAAAAGTTCCGAGACTCGGCATTCCCTCAGGCTTAGCCTCGAGTTCCGGTTCTTGTTGTTTTCATCTCACAGCTTGGTTTCCCTGTGAAATGGGTCCATGGTGGCTTCATCCCCAGCACCCAGTTGTTGTTTAAAGGGGCCACCCTCAGGCCCAGGAGGTGTGTCCGAGGGCACCCTTGACATTTCCTCTTTCAACATTCCTGAGGTGCCCACCTGCTCTTAAAGATTAGCGGCCTCTTTTGCTTTTCAAAGAGAGCCTGCTTGGTTCTGTTGTCCCCAATTTGGGTCTGAGCCCGGTGCCAAAGCCAATGATAGACGCCAGATACGAGGTGCAGGTTTTCCGATCGCTTTTCCTTGGAGTACTCCAAGGAAAAGGGTTCCTGGTCAAAATGCCAAGAGCCAAGAACAAAGGATTGGGCAAGTCGTACACATTTTCTCTAAAGGAGAAGGTGGGACAAAGAGAGATAATAAGAAATATCATCTAATAAACATTTTAGTAATAATTCTACCATTTGTTCTATTGGTCTCTAACTGTCCCTATTCCTAAGTCTTGGCTAATGAAATCCCTAGGAATTATCTAATACACCTTTGATTTGCTGCAGGTCATTCTCTATTTCTAACTTTTAGCTGAGGTCTGCAAGTTGGCTAACTCGTGTAACTTTTATCGGCTTTCTAATTAGCCAGGATTGTTACAAGATTCACACATGCATATCACCTGTGGTTAAGCATTCTTTGTTCTTGCCGGACAGACGCTCCAATTACAGGCTTCCTGATTTACTTTGAAGTGTGTGCCATGACCTGGCTTTTTTTTTTTTTTTAGCAGATGGCCCATCAGTTCTGTCATTTATTTATTTATTCCAATTCTAAAATCAAAGACTCTGGCCGGCTTACCATTCAAAATTCGTTCTTGGAGGTTTCCCTTTAGCCAATGAGCCCATCAAGTCAAGATGGCAGCCATGATGGAAGAACGCACACACACATACATACACAAACCGCAGGCATATCTTTGCTTTATTATTATTTATTTTATTCATTACATTTTTTTGCTATCCATCTTCCCTACAAGGTGACCCTAGGTTGCTTACAAGTTATCAAAGGGATAAAAATAATTAAAACGATAAAACAAATAAAACTATAGACAGATTGAAAGAAGATTATTAAAAGCTGTACTATTGCCCCATCCCAGCTGCCATCTTGACTTTTTGGACAGCCTTGGCCAAATCTTGTCTTCCATTCTCTGCTTTGACTCTGTTTTATTTGCAGGACACTCGATGGCTGGGGATGGGAACCCAGGGCAGGATGGTCAGCCCAGCTACTTTCCGTCTCTCCCTCCTGAGTCTACATACTTCTTCATATGCCCATATGGAATCGGCCGGCTATGGAATGTTAAGAAGTATGTATCTTTGGGATAGATTGTGAGCTTGGAGTCTTCGCACCACTCAGAGTCCGGGGACAGCAGGTCGCTGCAGGAAGAAGGAAGGCAGCCAGCAGCCAGATCCGGTTTTCTTGTGCTCCTGGGGCTGGTAAAAAGGAACCAGATCGACTGGCGACTGATTTGGTCCCCTTCAACCAGCTGGGGGGGCACAAACAGCTTCTGGGGTCTTCTGTACACCCACCTTAGGAATCCACAAAAGGAGCAGAAAACTTTTAAGGTGCAGCATCTTTCTTCTTTCTTTCCCTCCCTCTCCTTCCTCCCTCCCTCCCTTTTCTTCCTTCTCCAATCTATCTTCCTCCCTCCCTCCCTCCCCTTCCCTCTTCTCCTTCCTTCCTTCATCCATCTCTCCCTCCCCTCCTTCTTTCCCTTTCTTCCTCCTCCAATCCATCTTCCTTCCTCTCTCTCTCCTCCCATCCATCTTTCTTCCACCTCCAATCCTCCTTCCTTCCTTCCTTCCTTCCTTCCTTCCTTCCTTCCTTCCTTCCTTCCTTCCTTCCTTCCTTCCTTCCTTCCTTC